CTGGTTGCCGAATTTTCCGCCGACCTCACGATCCTGTTGCCGCGTTATTCATCGTGATCATCTCTACCCCATCGCCAGCACCGCTCGCCAGTACCATCACTATCTTCGTCACCCCCGTCGTCATCATCGTCATCACCATTCATCACCCGTGTCATCAGCCATCCTTGGGTGTTCGTAAGGCTGAAGCGGAGCTCAGGTGTTGGAACCGCAAAGCTTCAGCTTCGAGGACCTCTTGCATGGCAGCGCAATGCCCGGGGGCATGGAGCCCTGGACGAAGGTCTTCGAGTCCCTCGGCCGCGGAGATCGGCTCCCGGTGCAGCAGCTGAAGCAGATGATGGACGCGAGCGGCATGAGTGGCGAGATGACGTCCGCGTACATCGACCCGGAATTGAGGTCGGAATTGGGAAACCAAACCGTGAAGGAGGGGATCGCGAATATCACAGGCAACGTCCAGTTGCTGATGAAGGCTGTGCAGCAGGATCCCATGGTGCAGCAACTTGCAGCTCTTAGCCCCGACATGGCCCAGGTGATCAACAGCCCAGATGCACTGAAGAAGATTCTCAGCCCGGAAGTCTTGGAGAAAGTACACAGTGGCCAGATGCCCGACGAAGCTTCCATGCAAGCCATCCTGAATTTGGCATCCGGCACACATGTCCAGAAGGCTGTGCCCACAGCTAGTCCTGCGAGCTTGGTGGTGGATGGGGGCCTGAGGCTGAAGCAGGTGCGTGCGGGAGACGGGAAAACTTTCCCATCACCGGGTGACACTGTTTCGGTCTACTATGCGGGCTACCTGACAGATGGCAAGCTCTTCGATCATGGCAGCTTTAGCTTTGTCATGGGCAGTTCCCAGGTGATCCGTGGCTGGGAGGTGGCCCTGAGGCACATGAGCCTGGGCCAGCGAGCTGTGGTGCAGGTGCCGGCAGAACTCGGCTATGGCAGTTCCGGCGAAGGCCCTGTGCCTCCGAACTCGGATCTGCTCTTCGACGTGGACTTACGTGCCATCAACAAACTCCAGGCCCCTTTCCTGGCCGTCTGAGGGCCGCGCAGCTGCGTCGACCTGTGTTCTGTTGTAGCGATGCGATGTGGAGGCTGAGCCCCATGAGGTTTCTGGAGAATCTGCATGCGTAGCAACCAATCTCTCACTCTAGTGACTCTAGTGCAGGCCTGTGCAAAAAGCTCCGTCACATGTCCGATGTCACTGGCCCAGGGCTCTCTATCTATGGACTCTAGTGCACTTGCCTGGCTCGACGTTGACCATGCATCGTTCGACTTGCCGTGCTGTCTAAGGAACATGGCCCTGGATGATGAGACCTTTGCAAAGTACAAAAGTCAGCTGGCCCCGGCATGGTTTGAAATGCTGTTCACTCCTGGGTTGCTTTGTTCTTCGCAGATGCTTCTGCCCTCACTACGTGCATGATGAATGTAACTGTATCTGCCTGTGAGGACCAAGCTGAGAGAGTGTTGCGGCAAGCTTGTGCGAGATGAGCTTTCTGCCAGGATTCTTCCGAAGGGCGCAGAGCTCAGATTTCCGAAACTGAGGCCAGCAGGTAGCAGTTTGCTTTTGCAGATGCTCATCCCTTGCCCACGAGAGCGATGTCCCAAAGCCTCCCGGTGAAAGTGCGCCACTGCTGCTCCAGCAGTAGCTGGAGACGAATCGTCGGTTTGCTAAGGTGCCGACAGCGTGGCCCTAGAAGCCTTCTTGAAGTTTCACCAGGTTCGACTGTTTTTTGAGAGGTACTGGGAGCCGCAGTCGGCTTGACGTGTGCGGTTCGCTGGCCAGCTGAGAGAGTTTAAGCAGGCAGTCTGGGACAATCAGCCGCCTTCGGTGCGCCGCTTTGCTGGCTGCCCAGAGGCTCGCCGGGATGTTTCTGTAAGACATCACTAACTCTGCGACTCAGTTTAAAAATCTACTGTGCTTCATATCGCAGCAAGTTGCCGTCCGTTCGTTGTGCAAGCTCTCATGACTGCGCTACGATCTTTCCTACCCTTGCTCTTGTCCCTAACTCAGGCGGGTGGAGACAGCACTGGGTCGTACGGGCCTCGGCAAGTCTTTGTCGTGCGTTCCCAATGAAGAAAGATGCTTGAAACAGAAACAGCTTCACAAGACACGAAGAGTGTGACAGGGACAACACACCCTGGTAGCATGGATATATAGAAGCAGGAAGAAGAATGGCGAAAGCGATGCCAACAGCGGCAGAGAAGAAGAACGGGAAGCTTCCCAACCTTTGCCCTAGTGACCCGGTACCCCCAGCCATCGACTCCATATCTCTGAGATCTTTGGCTTCAGAGCCCCAGGCTTCACGTTGGCCTCTCGCCTCTGTCCAAATCCAAGCAGCTTGGCGCTGAGAGCATGGAACGCACGCGGGGTCATGCTACCTACCCATGAGCCTTGCAAAATGCACGTGTTTGCTCATCAAGGCGAGGAGTGGTAAGTAGCTTGACATTCTTGATGTTCAGGGGCTCAATGCGAAAGCTCCCGTCGGCACCTCAAATTGGCCTGGCCTCATCAGACGTCTCGTGTGACATCGCATGGTGAAAGACTGAATCCCCTGACCGGGCCCACAATCACAGTTCTATAACAGATGCTTGCATCTGACAAGCCCATGCGTGCAGCTGTTGCCGCGTCAGCACCCGGGCCATTCCTAAACCCGACCTTCTACGAGACTTGCAGGAGCTTGAAGCTGCCAGGGCCAAGCCAAGGCCTTTACAAGGAGGCCTTGGAGAACGAGGCAGGGGCACTGATTGGACACGACTAGCTCAATGCTTCGTGTGCACTGGAGTGCCAGTTCTGCGCCAGGACGCCCTCAGAGCAGCCTTCTACAGGCAAGACCCTTGAACCAGTGCATATTTTCATGCGCTACAGAAGAGAGCGATGTGCTTACATGGAGAGTGAGGTTGGTTTTCAGCGGACCTAGGCACTTTTCGGACATGCTCGCCTGCGGGTGACTTGGCCCGGGTCCCTTTGTAATGCCTGCCCAGGTACACGAACGGACAACTCTACCTGAGCCGTTGGGTCCTTGGACGCTGCTTACAAGACCTCAACGTTCAAAGCCTCCTGTAGAAGCGCGCTTTGAGGCAGTCAGATGCCATCCGTTCTGAAGGATCCTGGGCTTAGATTACATGTGGCGATTTTAGCATTATTGGTTTCAGGGCATGGCATACTGCTGCTAGTCACGCTTCTTCGCAAGCGTGCTTCTCAGCCAGAATGCGCAGATGCGATCCCGAGGACCTGGGCATCACGCTCCCTTCAGCTCAGTCTACACAGTTGGACAAAGATTTCTTCTCCACGCCTGTCGGCCCAGATGGCACATCCTTGGCAAGGAGCTGCCAAGAGAGCACGCGCAGATGCTTGTACTGGGGCCTTTGCAGCTGCTGAGGTTCTGTGATCATGAGTTTGACAGTGCCGACGAAAACAAAGACGGGAAGGCCCAATTGTGTTGGACGAGTTTGGAAAAGCATTGTCGGTACTGGCACCAGAAGACGAAATGGACAGTGCCTGGCTGATGATGCCAGGTATCTTTCCAGGAGTGCGTGGCCTACCAAAACCGGTATCTCTCCATGATGCAGGCTGGGGCTGGGCAGGGATGCATCTTCCTATATTATACATTATATATATATATATATATCATTTATCACATATTATATTTTATATACATTATATATATTATATATTATATATATATATATATTGTATTTAATATGATATCTTTTGTGTTTGAGCAGCCAGGCCACCTCCCTGGGCATCATCAAGTCTTTCAGGCAGAGTGCTGCGGTGCCTGGAGGGTTGCGGGGCAGCTTTGAGGGTTTTCCACGCACCGGGACTCATCTGGAGCCGCCACGCCTTGGTTGAGACACTCCAACTTAAAGCCTGTTCACCCGGAACTGGAGTCTCATTCGAAGGACTTCGGTGGTCAACAATACGACCCCGACATCCGGAGGGCATCGGTGATGCAGGGCTGGGTTGAGCTTCTCCCGGCAAGTGCAAGAGCATCTCTTGCGGTGGTCAGCCGGATGGTTCGCAGTAAATTGGACGAGGTGACGCGTTCTGCGCTTCGTCCAGAAGACCTCTCTTGCACAATGTGCAGATTGTTTCACCCGTCGGAGGCTTGATGTTGGTGCATCGTAACATTACGGAGATGCGGATGACACAAAGAGAGGATATCGCATGCAATCGCAGGTTTCCTGCGTGGGGTGGTCTGGACAGCTGGACCCAAGTATGCGACAGAAGAGTGCGGTCCTGCGATCTACGTAGTCATCCGCCATCCAGTCTTAGTTTCACTCAGATACCAAGTGTGGTTTCAGAATTGAAGCCACCCGCAGATGCCAAACCTGGTCTCATAGAGAAACATGGAACCGTCATGCAGGAGCGAATGCGGCTGGATCGATATAGCGAGACTGTTATGGATGTCAAGCAGCACTGTTCACATCTATGATGCATTTGATTTCGAGATGATGACAATGCCCAGCACAGAAATCAGAATCCTCTTTCCTTGGTTTGAGATCCGGATCCCAACTTGCGATGCGCAGGTGGGTTTTTGGAAAGGTGAAATGGTACAGCCTGGATTCCTGGATCTTCAATTCTTCAAGACTGCACCGCAAAGCCATGCGCCTGCAATCTAAACAATCAAGCTTGGCCTGGATCGCAGCGGCGCCTCGACCCACCCGGTTCTGAATTCAACTCGGGAAGCAAATCCCAAACCAAAGACGCTGCGGGCGGAATTCGGTCGCAAAGCATATTCTCGCGCCATGGCACCTTGCTTCTGCCCATGGGCAGCGAATGAAGCGCCGACGGAGTGTGGCATCTGCCGAAGCGCCCACACAGTTGTCATCTGGCATGCAAGTTGCATCCTCGCCGGGCTTTCTTTTGATTGACGACAGAGTCTTGCTAGTGATTACTTCTGGAGACGTTTTCGATTCAGTGTCTGTCCGAGGTCGTCCTTGTCTGAGGCTTCACAAGTGATTTGTCATCTCGGTATTGCAGCCCAGGGCTTCAGTGCCTACGTACTTCGCTCGGAGAATGCATGCGACTATGACTGCGCATATCTACAAGCAACTAGTGTTGCGCGATTGCTCTGGAAGGCATAAAGCCGTTCGAATTCGCAGCATTCGTCCGAGGTCGTGTGAGAAGCCCGCTAACAAACAGTACACAACAAAGAAGACAACTTAAAAAAAGAACTGGAGTCCACTGGAGTCCTGGACCAGTGGAGGTCCATGGAGCTCAACGATGCCGTGCTGCGGACTCGCCGGGCTTTGGAAGCCTTGGCGGAGCGCTGGCCAGCCCAGGGGCCCATGACCCAGGCCGGAGAGGAGCAACCCCCCCCCTTTCGTTTTGCTCTTTTCTTTTCTTCTTGTGGGGTTGGGGGGGCGCTTTTGAGTAGTTTTTGTGGGTTTTGAGGCGATCAAGGAGATCCTGCAGGATGAGGAAGGGCTGTCAGAGGAGGGCTTGAGACACTTGGCTTGGAGTATGGCACCTGCACTTCAGGGAAAGAGCAGGAGCCTGGGAGATGTGCCCAAACCAAGGCTGGAGCAAGGAAGTCGGCCTGGCCTTTGTCCTACCTCGAGCAGCCCTTCAATGTGTCCCTCTCGCGGCCAACGAGCCCCGAGACGGCCGGGGTGACACAAAAAAGGGGATGTTCTGTTCTCGTCAAGGTTCAGGTGGACATAATGACGAAAGGGCCACAAGATCGCAATGGCTGGGAGTGAAAGTCCCAGATGGTTTTTCTATTCCCAGGTCACACGCGTTCTGTTAGGCTCTCTGTTTGGCTGTATGTTGTAACGGGTCTGTGACCGGTCTGGATATGTCTGTGTGGTGACCGTTGTTTACGACTACTCCTGGCTTCGATGTTGAGGATACCGTCACTTCTCATATTAATATTACTTCGATATGCTACCTGTAAGTGTGTTTTGAAAGGGTTTGAACAGCATACCCTTTTGGCAACTTGATTGAATTGGGCTTAGCAGTGCTTGTCAAGCCGGATAGGACTGGTTCTTCAGAAGTTCTTCAGAAGTTTGCAGAAATGCTGGAGCTTCTGACCGTGGTGCAGAGAGAGATTAGCCGTGCGACGAAACGATGTCTCCAACAGAATACAGTAGACACTGTTGAACTGTGCATCTTGACAGCAAGCAGCGAGTCAATTGAAGTCATCCGCGAAAGTGTGGCAGTAGTGGCAGGAGCACGTGCCTCTCTTTTTTGTATCCACTGGCAGGGCTGCATCGCACGGCTACTTTCGCCTCTCGGATGAATCCATTTAACATGCAAGGAATGGCATATCGCCCACGAATCTTGTCCGTGAGCTGGGATGGTTTCACTTGCATCGTTAGCTTGACGCCAAGCTTCCGAAAGGTCCGCATCCCGGACGCATCGTCCAAGCTGGTCGTTGCACCTGCCGGTCCTTGCGGCTTCGGGGTGTATGCAGCTTGACCGAATGTCTCGACCTCATCCATGTGCCAGCCGGTACTCACGACGATGGGCTTTAACCTCATGGTGCTTGTGCAGCCGCGCTATGCAAGCATGCTGGAAACCGCAAACCCATGCCATGCCTCATGTTTTCAATACGGGTAAGTTGTCTGCTTCCTTTTGAGGGATAGTAACGTTGCCCGCTGCAGGCTTTGCACTTCGCACGTTCACTGCTCGTCTGTGCTTGCACTTCTCGTATGTTCACGCTCTTTCTGTTTCATCGTATGCTCGAGCAGAAGACTGGGATCGAGTCGTAAGTGTGGGCAGACGTGGGCACTGAGCACGTGTGTTGAAAACCGAAGCTTGTCGGAGCTGCTGCCGTGGCGTTCTTCATCTGGCTTACTCTCACGAGGCTTCAGCCGAGCTACATCATGGTTTCCTAAAGTTTCCTGTGAGCCTCATGCGGCCCATTGGATTGACCTTGAATTTCGAGTTGTTCCGAATTTCGGCAGTGTCAACGACACAACATGATCATCCGCCGACGTCGACCCTGTATCGGGTAACAGCAGCATTGAGTCAAGTTAGTTTATGGGCGTTTTTTTTGTGTGTGTTCTCGGGTAAGCTGCATGCAGTCGGGCAATGTGGGCAAACAGCTCAGCGAGGTAAAGGCAAGGGTTGCGTGATAGCCTCGCAGTCTCAGAGTTGGGTTCGTCGGAGAGCCGTACTGTAGGTGGCAAAAAGCGTGGTGCCAGCTCCGAGCAATGCAACGTTTGCTGAATTCTGACGTATGTGTTCAGTGCAGATCGCACAAGCCGTCGACAACGAAGCCCACCCTTCGCAGGTCAGGAAAGGATCCAATGATACAGACTGCGAATGCAACATGAACAGGTACGGTCTTCGGGTCTTTCTCTTGAGCACTTTACTCACCTTGACAGAAAAGGGCCCGGCCGGAAGGACCTTCCTAAAGGAGATTAAAGGAGCCTTACCTTTCGGCAGGCTTCCCAAGCTGTCAGGCCCCACATGGCAAAAGAGTGGCCCGAAAACGACGGGCTCCACGCATCGAAGCTGCAAGCTGCTGCGATCAAAGTGACAATCATGCTTCGAGGCTACAGCGAGAATCTCTTCCGGCGAGCGGCTTGGCCGCTTGGTGCGAGACCAGCTGAGAGCCAAGAAAGGAGCATACAACGTGCATCTGCAGGTTTCCAGAGAGAGTGCACCACATCCCAGACAGAGGGGTTTCGTTACTCACGCGAAAAGCGGTCGCCGAGGAGAGTACACCGGAGAAATCCGACGCTATGATATTTGGTGCGACGAAATCAAGGCTGCAAAGAACCGTTGGTCATATGTTGGCTCTTTCCGGGTGTCCCTGGGAGGCGCTCAAAGTGAAGCGCCGAAATTCCGATGCCTCCTCGCCCTTCATCCGCGAGGCATTGCAGGGCTCTGCAGGGTAGCTGCAGGGCACCTGCAGGGCTTTGATCTCTTTTTCTTTTCAGGAGCTCTACGCCGCCTGGGCAGGCCCGTTTGTGGCTCAGGGCCGTGGTCTTGCACGTTCTGTCACTCTTTCTCAGATGGGCAGGCTCGGGACCCGCTGAAAAAGGTGTGGTTATTGACGCCTACCACAAAGGCAACCTCATGCGCACCTGGCTTGCAGCATGCCTCTTCTATCAGTTCATATGCTTGCGGCCTGCTTCGTGCGTTGGATATTCCATGCCTTCAGCTCAGGTTTCATCAACTGCAGCTGCAAGCCAAACTGCAGCTTTAAGAGTGCAACTCGGAGGCGAGTGCGATTGAATTTGTCAAACCTCTGATGAAGCTTCCCAACTTCAGCTAAGGTATGCGCCCAAGGAGAGCCTCACGGCCGGCTGCAGGTAGATGCCTGGTTGCAGACTGTGGCCACAAATCTTAAGCGCTCCTTGTGTACTCCCCCTCTCCTCACGAGTATCACTTTCCGACCTGAGAGTCCCGCTGTGCAGCGCCGGCAGCTGCAGAAACTTTGTCAAACCTTTTGTCCCTTATCGTGTCTTGCGAGCTGGGTGACTGTAACGTATGAGCAACCAATCCTCGCAACAGCTGGCACTAACGGACAGTGTGCACCTGCCAAGAATGCCTTGCGGGCCATCGAAGTTGGAGAGCAGCTCTCTGTGGACTATGGATTCTCGGATGGATCAGGGATTATCGCAGCGCCGAGCCCATGGTGTCATGACTGCAACTAGGTTGGTACCACGACCCTGCAACGTTGGAAGATATCCGCAAGGCGGCGCATGCTCGTTTTTTGCACGCAGAGCTGATCGGAAAGAAGCTGGTCGTGTGCATAGTGGTACGGCAGCAGAGCATGCGCGGGTGTGACCTGTCTGCGTCTACGTAGCAGCCACGCTGCAGCTGGACAATCCACTTCATGTGCATCATCCTTCTTGCATATTCTTGCATGCAGATCCTGCATCTGCAGCTGACCAGGAGGCAGTCGCGGTCTACTCGTCGGATCTGCCACAGCTGCAGGTGGCATGCTCCAGACCTGCAGAGTCTGGTTTCTGCCGTCTTTACACTGCCGGCAGTGCACGGCTTTGCACGAACACGGTCAAGACGGTCAAGACCACCTGAACAAGTCCACGACGTAGCAATCTGAGCCCTTCCGAACAGAAGCGCTCGCCGTGCAGCTTTCAGGCCCTGCAGCTCCCGGAACCTGTGATTGGCGACGACGCCTCCGAGGCAGTGCAGCTGGTGGCCGAAGCCCTCAAGGCAGGCATCCAAAAAGTTCACAGATGAAGAACAAAGACTTTCAGATTTGTCTTCTCTTTAGTTGTGTCACGCGCAGATGGCTGCATGTACCACGCACATATGTCGTCTCACTAAATGCATGCGTGACATTCGTTTGCAAGCTCGCCGCACCCGAACTTTGAACGGGCATATTGTAATTCTTTACACTGAATCCCGCGAAGATGCCCTGCAGGAAGCTCGTGGCCGCCCCGGCTTGCGCAGGTCGCCTGTTGGATCGGAGGGCCTCGTGTTCAGGGTTTTTCTGTTGAGTGCTGCAATATTCGGTTGCAACTCACCAAGTCCTGCGAGCAACTGTGTAGCTAAACACGTGCTTGCCGCCACCCCATTTCCGTCGGTGGTACCACGGTGTGATTTTTTTGCCGCGAGCGAAGTATGTGTTCATGGAGAGGATCGTCACCACGACCTGAGTCGTCCTTGAGTCCGCGCGATCAACTCTCGTGACATCAGCACAACGTGCTGTTCCCGGCGTTAGCGTCGGTGCTCGGATGTAGCATCTTTCGCTCGCCATGCTTTTTGATGCATTCATCGCCACCTTCGTTGCCACGAGAACTTCTACGGACTGGCACCTCCCGGACTTTGCTGGGTCGTCAACTGCTGTCCGGCAGAAGAGGCCAGAGCCCAACACCAGCGAAGTTGTCGCGTCGAAGGATGCCGGCAGCGATGGTCCCGAACCCGGAGCAAGTTAGGTTAGCCACGGCTAGGGCTAGGGGCAAGTGGGTGATTGTGAAGGTCCGTGCCTTCATATTTGTGCGCGCTGTTGTGGGTTAAGTGTCGAGTCCGAGGGGCGCGCGAAGCTACGGCCGCCGCGAGTCGCGGCGACCCCACCACCCGCTTGCTTTCCCCAGCCTCCGTTTTCTGCATCTGCTTTTGACTGCCTTTGTGGAGGGTGTAGACGTACAAGACTCACAATCGAATCGCAGTCAGCTGTTGTGGCCCCAAGCCTGTGAAGTCCGTGCGGTTGAGCTCAGGCGGCCTCACAACTTCCTGGCAGGGATGCTGGACTCCGAGGCGCTGGCAAGGCGCGATGGTCCGCAGCTGCAAAAACGAGTGCTCGGGGGACACAGCAGACTTCTCTCCCGTCGGTACATAGCTCTCTCTGATGCTCCCTTGGCTTCCCTTGAACCCTTGGTCATTGGTCGTGTGCACAGTTGGCCGGTGCTCTGTGCGATGTCACTGCGCCGAACTCCTCCTGCCGTTCCTCGTAATGCTGTCCCGATAATCCGATACCAAGTGCAAGTCTTCCGCTGTAGGTTCCTGGAATCCGGCAAGCGCTTCTCGGAAGCCGCCACATACCGCGCCATCCCGGACCCGGCCACTTAGTTCTTGAAGTATTTCCGAAAGTCAGTAGTTGTGGACGTACCGCTTCTGAACTCTACACACTTGCTAGGTGCAGGTCAACTCGCACCACTTGGTTTCTTTGCCTTTGCCATATCATCATATCGTTAATCTCAAGTCAAGTTTCCGGAGTGTTGCGAGGTCTGGCTGCTGTACGAAGTCCTGGGGGCGGAGAGGCACCTATGGATTCATACAGATTCCACAGGAATGCGTTCAGTCAGAACAGAAAGATCATGGCCTGGACGACTCAGCACAGATTGAAATCCAGGGACTTTTCCCCATGATGTCAGGGTTGGGATTCCTTGCCGGTGCGGTTCAGATCCGAGCTTCTCGCCTGAAACTAGTTGCTTTGCGGCAAGACCACGTCCATCCGTAGCACGAGTTTGCAGACAGCCGATGAGTAGTTGAGTGCAGGGAAGGCCTCGACCCGAAAATCATCGGCAAGTTTCGAGCTTGAGGCCTCAACTCCAGCGGGCGATGCTCAGGCATCATTGGCCGGCCACTGCAGGTGCAGAGAAAGCCTCTAAGTGATCTGAGCAGGCAGAAAATGCAGCAGCCTCGCAGGTGAACTTCACCGGGCGCGATGACGGTTGAGCTAGCCGCCATTGTGGCGACTCGCTGCTGCTTCGGAATGTGAGCTTCAGAAGCACTGCGGCCCCCCGGCATGTAGGGCAGCATCGATCCCGACGAAAAGTTCGCATCGTTTCTTGCAATTGGCCATGCTGAGCCGTGCTGCGTGCCTTGCCGGATTCTCCTGTGATCTGTCGGAGGCCAGCTCGAGGAACTCCGTAGCTTGTTCAAGCCATCGTGTACCACAATGACTGGAGCAGAACAGTGCTGTCTCATAGACTACTGTACGTTGTATGTGTATGTGCACATGTATTCTGCATCTAATACACTGATCATTCTAGAGGTCTTGGCCTCGCAAACACGCCATGTCTTCATTCCAGGCCTTCTCAATACAGAACCAGAAAGCGTTCCAGCGATGCTATGCAGCCAGCCTGTCCTGGCAACGGAGGTAGCGGGTGAGACTTGAGAGTAGCGAGGGAATGCCGAAGAGGTGTTACGTCTGCCGTTTACTGTGCCTCTCGGTAGTTTAAGCCCCCTACGGCATTTGGAAGTAAGCAAAGGCGGCAATCTTGCAAAGTTCGGAAGCACTCATACACTGTAATGCATTGGGAAGACTCGGACACAGGGATCGGACATGCAAAGTTGCTGTAACTGTCTACACCCATTCAAAAGCACAGAATGTTTGTGTTCACAGCGTGCTTGAGACATCGGTGATTTATCTCGCAGTCACTTTCACGACTGCACAACTGTTTGTTGGATTTCGAAGTCTTGCCCTAGATGCTTTTAAGGTTGTTTGAGTTGATGATGCTTCACATTCTGCGATACCATACTCTCTTCAGCATCTCTTTTTGGCACGCCACTTTGCACGGCCTTTTGACGAAAGGTGCTGCATGTTTGCCAGGCTTTCTCCGACTGCTTCACGGAGAGGTGCCATCGAGACTTTGGCCAGATGTGTGGTCGCATAGTGGATCATATTGGTAGAGGCCCGGCGCCTCCTGTCCAGCGCTGCAAAGACCAGCAGAGGTGGCAGCCCCAGGCTACACCCGGAGAGCTCCTGCTTGAACGTTTCGGCTCTGGCATGCTCACCATCAGATGTGGGTAGCACTGGCTGTCTGCCTGTAGGTGAATTTTTTTGGTTTGCCCGTCTTTACGGAAGATTCAGATCTTTCGGTTACGGGATTGCGTCCCAGCCACCGTCCTCCCCCGTCCTGCCGTGCCGTTGTGAGACGTTGTGAGGTCCCGGAGGATGCGAGAAATGCCGCCGGCTGCTGGGCGTGGGCCGAAGTGCCTCTCGGGAAAAGCTTCGCCGGGCCTTCCTGGCAGCACCTCGGAGAGTCCAAGACCAGACCCAGCTTTGCTTTGGGGCGGCGGGCTTCGGAGGACGCACAGCAGCCTTTCCACGACAGCTTCACTACGTGTTCGGATCGCCTAGTGCGTGGCATGTCTCTACGTGGCGATGCCCAGGCAGCATGGAAGCATCACCCCGATGGTCTCGGCGAGGGCGACTTCGTCGAGCCGGGTGCTCAGCAAGGGCGCAATTTAGTCGCATGGAGTGGATTCCATTGACACCGGTTGTTGCACATCCGCCTGGCTGCGCGGACGGAACTGATCGTTTATCGACAGCGCTCGGACACTGTGCTAGCAAGGCTGCGGCGCTGCTACGAGCTCTTGCTCGAGAATTGTGACGACTCAGAGTCAGGTGATGGCCTCTGATGACTGCTTGTTCCTACACTTACACCTATCTCGCATGCTCAAGCTTAGCATGGCAGCTTGAACATCGCAGGCCCCTTTGAGTGGTGTCGTGCCTGCCATGTGCGCGCAGGTCAAGATGAGCTCCCATGTTCGGGCACGCAGGACATCCTCTGCAACGGGATACAAGAAGGCTTCTTCCCGCGGCCCTCAAAGTTCTTGGAAGCTTTGCCGGAGGAGCAGGACGAGCCGGTGCAGTCTAAACAAGCGTCGCGACGACGGCCTCTCCAGAGCGGCTCTGCCAAACCCTCAGCGTCAGGGCAAAAGCAGTGAGCAACCGAACCTGCCACCGGCTCTGGAGGCGCGCTGGGCCTCTGCGCGAGCTCCAGGCCTTGCTGCGAAGATCGCTGCACCTGAGCGCCTGGAGGCAGGATTCGCGTGACTTGGTCTCCTAATATCGAAGCAGCCGACTGCTGTTCTTTCCAGCCAGCGCCCTGACGCCTGCCTCTATCTTCGTGCATGGGCCGGCATCATGGAAGGTCAGAGTGGAACTGGCACTCACTGCCTCTCCGCTGCCACCCTTCCTTTGGGCTACAGCGGCGACGGCAGGCCTGCGCCGTCGGAATGGCAGCGGCTCGCACAAAGTCCATAGGACGGGCAGGCCGTGCAGGACGTTTTAGTAGTCGTCGTCGTAGTGGTATTGTCGTGTTGGTAGCAGTAGTGGCAGAACAGTAGGAGTAGTAGGAGTAGTAGGAGTGGCACGAGTAGAAGGAGTACTAACAGGACTAGGAGGAGTGCAGGAGCAGGAGGAGTAGGAGGAGTACTAATAGTAGTTTCAGTAGCAGTAGCAGAAGTAATTAGTATTGCTAGTAGTATCTGCAGCATCAGTAATAGTATCAATAGAAGTAGCAGCAGTGGTAGGTCGTAGTCGTAGTAGTAGTAGTGGT